ATAATCACAATTGCTCCTCATGGCAGTATAGCAACTATCAGATATATTTGTCAGATTTTTCAAATAAGCACATGATGGCTTTGAGAGTTTAAGTTACTTCTTCAAAGTCAGGAGACTTAATGGTCTAAATCTTCTGATTTCAAATCCAGTGTTCTTTCCCCTTTCCTGCTAATTTTAATAACAAAATGGAGCCAAGAAAATTCTGACCAACTGACCTGAAATCCTTAAAACTGTCATCTGTTGATCGTTACATTTGTAAATACTCTTAAAATTCCCTATCATACCTCTTAACTATTTAAATTCAGACAAGTCTGTTTCATTCGATCACAGCTTTCTAAAAATGCCTTGTAATGGTTGATGAATTGTTAGTGGCCCAAGTGAATATGTGACACCAGAAAGTACACTGAGAGCCATATGGAATCAGCACTATTATAATTGTAACAATGTAAATAGTTAAAAGTTATTAAAATATTTTAAATAGTGCCATATAGAAGCACTTTTATTTGCTGAACAATTAAAGATAACTTGGCTCTATGAAGTTCAGGAAGATTACATTTAATAAAAGCATAAAAGCACTGGGTGCATCTCAAAGTGTTCTCATAACATAATTTGGAAAATTAAAACTATGTTATAATCTTGTAAATAGGTCTATCTTCAATATAATTGGGGAGGTATAAAGGGCACAGGGAATTTAGAATCTAGATTAATAAAACTTGAAGAACAATGATATCCCCTTTATCAGAATATTAAAATTATTAAATTAATTTTGCACAACACCCAGAGGACTCATTTTATTCTGGACCAAAACAAAAACAAACAAAAACAAAAGCAATTCAAACTTGCGCTTCCACTTATCAAACACTTTCTTCATGCTTTCAAAAGTTCACTGTTATGAGAGTGACCCTGAAAACAGATAAACTAAAGTCATTTTCCAAATGTCAAAAGCCAGAGAGAGCAGCAGGACTAGTTCTGGGGCCTTCTGATTGGCAACCTTGTTTCCATTTGCATTCCTGCCTCCCAAGGAAATAGACAAAAACAAATGACACTGTTCGGCTTGGTTACCAGCGTCAATTTCTACAGCTCATTTCTCAGTCCTATTACAAACTAGCTTTATGTCTGAAAGAAAGCCATTTTATTTACTAAATTATATGAAATTTGACTTTCTTCTTGTACTGAATGAGGTTATTTTCTTCCATTAATTGCTTCTCTAATGGGACATTACCTCTGGAAGAACATTAGCCCACTGTGTCCTTGAAAAGACTCACTGGACCCCCGGGGGCCCACCACCTTCCCTTCTTGCTCTTCTCCTGGGCTCCAATTCAGCATTAGAGAAACTAAAGTGGCCAAATGCTCTGCTTAAATCCTTTGACATAAAGCAGGAAAGGAAATCCTCTGGGTTGTTCATTGACAATAACAATATTAATTCACACAGCCTATCTTCTCTAAGTGCAAATGCATATGGAGTTGATTCAATAGAAACGTTTTAAAGAGGCTGACATCAAAGAATTAGAGCAGAGTAGATTAAAAAGTACTTGAGAGAGGCTGTTTGTGTAACAGCCTACACTGAAGACAGGTTTGTGGAGACCTTCCTATAGAAGTGAAACTCAAGAAGCCCCAGTCGCCTAATGGATAAGGCATTGGTCTCCTAGAAGTGAAACTCATAGTCACCCACACACTAGTAGTCACCCACACACCCACCCACCCACCCACCCACAAACCCATGCTTTATTTTTAGAAGGTACACTTCTCTAATGAAGGACGACTTACTAGCACTTCGCCAAAGAGAGAAAATGTAAGCAGATGCCTGTTAAGTTCAACTAATTAACTGGGCAATTCACCTCCCTCTCCCCATGATTTTGGCTTAGGCAAGTGTTCTAACTGTATGGCTGAACTGGATTGCAAAAGAGATGAAAAGCTCTGTTCTTACCTTACAGTTTCATACAAAAATCCTTCTATTTCATACATATAAGCATCCAGTAATAGATGTTTATTATAATCACACTTGAGTAATTTTTAAAAAGGAGAAGACAATAATTTTAGAAAGCGTTAAAGCTTCAGGAAAGCAGCCCATACGTATTACAGTTTGGGAATTGGGATTTACATAGATCCAAACATCAAATGCACTGTGAATCACAGACTCAGGTTATTACTTGAGATTTATGATGACAGAAACTGTGACCAAGTTCTGAATACAAAGAAAAATAATTGCAGAAGTTAAGAGTTATAGAATCTCCTTTCGGTTGACAACTAAATTCAGACTTGACAATTAAATCCCAGCCTTACTTCATTAGATATTAATCTTGCAGTGGAAATGAAAGGCTTTTAAAGAAGCATTTCTGCTCTAATAAAAAAAGGCTCTCACTACAGTAGAACAATAATGTTGTGTTGAAAGTTAGAACTATTAGAACTCGTTAGCTAATTATGGTATTGGCATCCACTTAAGTTGCTCAGTTTTTCACTTCTGTCATTTTCTGCTGTTCAACTGCTGCAGTTCAAAACGTTTTGACTACTTAAAAGGGAATACATCATCATTGCCTTTCCCCAGTCTAACTGCACACCACTTTCCAAAGCAATAGCTTCAATCATGCTTCATAAAATCCCCTGCAAGTATATTGTTGGAAACATAAATCAGCAAGCTGGGATTTTAGTATTTCTAAGGCAAGCTCAGGGATCACTAACTGGAGGCTTTTCCATGGCCCCATTTATAAAAGAATAAACAAAATTATGAGTTACACTAGATCCCTTTTTTTCAAAAACTGCTCCAGTGGTACGTCTGCTACTTGCTTCTTCATCCTTAATTGGAGGACAAAACACTAGCATAAGAGAATTGGACTCCAGGCTCAGGATTGCTGTTTCCCACCATCTCCGACTTCATTAGGACACATGGCACAGAAATACTATATGTTCAGTTTCACAAAAGCTAGGTCTTTCTAATATGCATTTACGCCTCTATGAGTGCCAGGCATTTTTAAATCGCACTAGATAGAGAGATATGTAGAACGATGCTCTCCTCCTTCCCTGTTTCATTACAGTGAATATAAGCTCCCTTTCATGCATGCTTTAGTTTTAGAGCCCCTCTTTACAATCACCCTGCACTGTGAATTATAAATTAGGGGAATCACAATTTCAGATATGTCACATATATAGACCCAAATTAAATTGTGTCTGCATATAATATTTAAACATTCCTAGATTTCTCTTTTGTCCCCCAAATTCCAACACACTTAGTGTCTATAAATGTAAATTCACAGACTCCACCACAGAGATATATTTCTTCTCCAAACCAGTCACAATGTAATCGTAAGTCTGCATAAACTTGCTTTCTATTATGACCCTATCTTACTCCACATTAGCTACACTCGGTTAATTGCAGTGGTATTTTAACTGTAATTTTCAGGGACTTCTTCTTAGGATTCACTAATACCTGTCTATGTTATAAATGAACAGTTAAACATAATCAGCAGCTCTGTAAAAATGAAAGCAGCATATCTGTAGGGCATAAAGTATATGTTGATCCTTGCTATAATAGTAATTAAATTAACCGGGCTAATGCCAGCTTCAGATGGATATATCTGCAATTTTGCTATGACTGAAATTTTGCATACTCTATATTATTAAGGGGAAATGAGCAGCATCTTACCAAGACACTTTATAAACTATAGCAACATTCAGTTTTGCATTCTGATTTCTGAACATAAAATCTGCATCCAATCATGTTTCATCAGCCACTAACACTATATAGCTTTAGGGAGGTGAGGGCAGAGAAAGGAAGGCTTCATATCCAAAATGTCAAGCCCTGCTGAAGAATGATAGAAGGACCCAGGGAGTGTGGAAGAACAGAAACAACCATTTCTGGGTTTAAAATGGAGTTCTACCACCCCCTGCTGGACCAAATGAGCAACACAGAAGAGGCTAGAAAATGCTTAGAATTGAATATAGTGGAGATATTTTAACTTGTCTTGTAATTTATGTTTTCTCAAAAAACAATTTTCACACCATACTAATAATATAACATTCTATGCAACTATCATACGTCACAAAATTACATCTATTTTCTTTTTCTTTAAAGACTTCCACCAATGCATGTTTTAGCATTTTGTGTTCCCAATTAAATGTCCAAACTTGTCTGGACAGTTGAAAATGCTTCCATTTATTATAAATATATTTTATGTGAACGTGAACTATCCAAACAAAGCAAGATAAATTCAGATCTATCTCTATATAGATAAACAGAGGTAGCTTCCACAAATTCTCTCAGGTTATTTTAATAAGCTATTCATTTTTTTTTTTTCTCAAGAGGTAAAAATCTCACCAGTTCTCCACAAGCTAAAATATCCCTTACAGGTGTAATTACAATCTGACGCTATAAAAATTTTCAACCTTGATGTATTAACAAGGGTGGGGGGGTGCTGAAAATGAATGACTGCAACACATGCCTAGTTTTATCTATTTGCCGTCTTACACACAACATCCATGGCCCCTCTCGTAGTTTCCATAGAAATAAACCATCATCGTTCACTTCCTAGTCAGGAATTGGGGTCTTGGGAAAGGGGGTAAAAAAGAGTCTCTAAGAACTGAATTTCTTGCACACGAGAGATATGTCACAAACGAGTTCAATGCTGATAGTTTTTGCTGCTTCTGTAAAACATCGTCGTTCCCTTTCCTTCCTCAACCTCACATACTTAACTGTTAATACACACCAACATACTCATCCAATTTTTGTAATGAAAATCAGAGCAAGCCAAGATCCCAGAAAAAGCAGCAGTTTGCCTTGATCTCCTGCTCACTGATGCCAATCTCAAATTCTGTATTTTCTCTTATTTAAGAGTCTCCACAGAACAGATAATTTTTAGTGGCAGCTAAAATAAACAGTGAAAATAACCACAACAGTAACTATAACTTTAGTTCTTTCATTTAATTCTTCTTGTATCTCTCTCTGTCTCTCTTGGTTGGGTGGAAGGGGGAGGGAAAGTAAATGCAATAAAGCACCACACTCCTACCTTGCCCGCTACTGACAAGCAACCCGAGCAGGTAGAAGGAGAGGAGGAGGCTCATGTTCAGGACGTGACACTGGAGGACAGTTCCAAAGTTATTAAGTCCAGCCCTGGAGAGAGAACCTTCCGCTGCCACGGCCGCCTCAGCTAGAGCCGCCGCCGCTCCCGGGGTGCCCCAGCCGCCCGCAGCCCGCGCGCTCCTCCTCGCAAAGTGACTGCAAGCTCCGCTCCTTGCCGCACTATATCCAGGCAGCTGCGGCGGCGGCGGCGGCGGCAGCACCAGCAGCACCGGCCGCCGCGGCGGCAGCACAGCCAGGCGGGGAGGGAGGCGGAGGCGGGGGCGGGGGCGGGGGCGCGGGGAGGGGAGGGGAGGTGCGGCCGGGGTGTATCCCTCCGCGCCGCACAGCGGCCGCTTCTCTTGCGACGCGCGGCCTCAGGATTCGTCCGCAGTCGAGCTCGGAGAAGCGGGTTCGGTTCCCGGTTCCTCCAGCTGGAGTGGCCGCCTTGATCGGGCTGGCGCGAGCACGTCTGCGAGTGGCGACCGCACGCTTAGCCTGACGGCGACCCGCACGTTGGCGGACGCCCCTGGGCCGAGGAGGGAGGGCAGCCTGGAGTTCCTGCACGGCCACTGGCCCTTTCGCGGAAGCTTGAGCTGATGCTGCAGGCGGCCACCCGACCCCGGGCTCTAAGCGCGCGCGGATTTAGCGGGAGCGGGGAATCTGAATGCGGGCGGTATATTCTGCCGCTTGAATTCCTCCAAGGGCGTGGGAGGGGAAAGATTCTGTCTCTCCCAGGCCTTCCCTCTGGCTCAACCCTTCAGCAGGCTGCCCCCTTCCCACGCTTTCCACTCTGCCGCGGTAGAGGGGAAGCAATTGTCCTCTAGTGTCTACACTGCCTGTCTCCTCCGGCTGTAGAGGGTAGGCAGAAAGATGTGAATGCTGTTTCTCATCTACGTCGACCCAGTTTCGTTAAGAGCAGGTACTTAAGGGAGATTGGGGAGGGGGCGAGATGTTGGAGGCGCTGCGTTAAACTCGGCTGTCAGCGTTAGCCGCGTCCTTGGACGAGTCCAAAGTCTCCCCTAGCCACTCTCAGCGGGCTCTGCGTTCTGTCCCCAGCGCACAGCAGCGGCCAGGTCCCCGCGAGGAGTGCGACGAGGGAGGTCCTGGAAAGGTACAAAGATGAGTTGCGCGGGGATTCTTCCCCAGCCAGCCCACCACCCGTACACACACCTGCGTGTGCGCGCGTGTGAATTGGAGTGATGGAGCCGTGGCAAGCGCCCAGAACTAACTCTCCTCAGAAGGTTGGGGCATATCATTATCTCTCCTGTGGCTAAGAAAGGTTTGTGAGTGCGATGTTAAGCCTGCGGCAAGAGCGAGCAGGAGGCAGACTCCCTGGCCCCAGGGCCCTGGTCGGTCGACCTAGGTCAGAGCGCCCGGCTGGAACTGACAATGGATCCTTTCATCTGCACATTCGTTCTGGTTCCTTAGGATAATCAACTGCTTCACCTCACACCCCGCGAGACCATTGCTCATTTCCTTATCAGTGAGGACGCAGAAGTAGAAAGGGGGGGGGAATAGAAATATTGTAGAGCTCAGAATCCAGCCCCCCACCAGCCCCTCCAGGCCCCGAACCGCCCTACAAACACGCTGGGATTTGATGCTGGAATGCAGGTTTCCTTGCTTCAGGGAGGCCAAAGGGGTGGAGTAGAAACAAGCTAACACGGATAGGGGAGAGATTGTCTGCGATTTGTGTTCCCCAGGCAGAATGCGATCTTCTAACACAGAAGGTTCACTTACTTGGTATCTGGGATTAGTTTTTGAGATGAGTGGAGGCAAAGGCAGCTTTCAACATATGATGGCTGAAGTCTAACCAATCGCTCTCACAGCACCTCTCAGTTTGAGAACCTCTTCTTTTGCTTGATTTTATAGTAGTATATTTAGAACAATAAATTTAGGAAATTCTTTTGCCAAAGGTCCCACCTCACACACTTTCCTCATTCTGTGCGGCACCAACGGTACTTAAGTAAGGTCACAGCTCTTTGCAGGAAAGGGTGGAAACAGCGCATTTATAGGTGTGAAAATGACTTCTTTATTTTCACCAGTTCCTGATTTCTCTAGGGAATCAAAAAATACTACACACACAAACACTTCCACACAATCTCTCTCTCTCTCTCTCACACACACACACACACACACACGGTCACAGAAGAAATTTGAAAGCATACTACCTGTGCCAAATAACCTCTTCACCATAGAACCTGAAATTTTTCAGTGTAACACCAGGAGTGGTCAAGTGCCTAAGACATACAAATACACACACACACACACACACACACACACACACACACACACACCTGATAATCTTGACAATTAGATTCCCCCCTATATTGTTGGAAGTCGAATTACTTTTATTTCAGGCAAGGGGTTGAACTACGCCAGAGTAGAATTTCACTGGTGCCCTTTAAAGTAATTTAGCTATTAAGTCTTCTTAGAATATGGTGGAGGGAGGAGAGAATAGACATTGAGTGCTATTACCAAATGTACCAAATCTCTAAGCCATGTATACTGGACAGGATATAAAAGGTATGGAAATGCATCCTCCCTCCTTTATGTGAGTTATAATTACATTGAAGACAAATTATCATTGTGTCCATCTACCTGAGGAAGTGTTTCAGAGATTTAGTTGGGGCTTTAGTTACTCCATTTATAAAAATAAGAGAAAGTTGAACAGGACTCAGGAAGAAGGAGAGAATGTAGCAATGATCCATCAGATATTAATGAAATTTCTGAGTAGAGGTTTATATTATAAGACCGTGTACAAACTATTTGTGAGAGAGAGAAAGGGAAAGTTGTGTGTATACCTGTGTGTATGGTAACAATGAAAAGATAAAGCCCTGGTACTCAGGAATATACAAAGGTGATATAGGTATAGGTCCTACCCTCAACTTGCTGATATTGTTATTGAATAGATCAAGAATAAACACACGATTCAATCATATAAATCAGGTTGTGAAAGTGTCTTAAGAGAAAACAGTTATTGGGGCACAAGAGAAGGCGATCATTTCTGAATAGAGGATTGAGAAAAGCTTCAGGAAGCTCTGACGAAAGAGGAGAAATTAGATGGGTAGAGATATGGGTAGGGCAGAGGAGCTTAAGCAGAGCCCGTGGATATGAAAGCACACAGCTTGTGTGGAAAACAGAGAGAAGTCTAATTTGAAAAAATACAGTGCAAATATAAAGATTGGATGGAGTTGGAAAAGGGGTCTAGGGCCGTGTTATGCTAAAAAGTCATAATAGTAATTACAACCTCTCAGAATAGAAGTCCAAACTGGCATGGTCAAGAAGAGCCAGAATGGCTGCCCCTCCATCCCTGAGGCATAAGTTGCGAGTTGTGAACCTATGGGAAGATTATCAACACAGGCTCTCAGGTTTTATGCATAGATGGCCTGAACTTATGTTGCCATGAGGTCTCGATAGCAGGGTGACCCACACTCAAAGAAAGTCTTCCCACACTTGCTCAAACTGCTTCTTCGCCAAAGGTAGAAGTGCCTCCCCAGAACTCCATCAGAAGCACATCCATTCCCCATTGCAGTGATAAAATGGTATAGAACCTGACATTTGCCTTGGTCAGTTCCACTCCGCAACAGATTGTCAGTGTGAGGACAACTTGTAGAAAAATTGCCTTTGCCCACTGTCCTCCACCCCGCTCCAAATGCATGCTTCCCACGTGCAGACATCGAGTGCTATTACCAAATGTACCACATCTCTGAATGTGACCAAGCCATGTGTACCGGACAGGATATAAAAGGTGTGGAAATGCATCCTCCCTCCTTTATGTGACTCATAATTACATTGAAGACAAATTATCATCGTGTCCATCTACCTGAGGAATGTTTCAGAGATTTAGTTGGGGCTTTAGTTATTCCATTTATAAAAATAAGAGAAAGTTGAACAGGACTCAGGAAGCTATGAAGAGCTTAGTAGTAGGAAATATCAACAGGACTGGATGCATGGTTAAATGAAAGCAGACAAATTTGTTTTAAAAGAATCAATAAAATGAACATGAAGGAGTAGCAGAGAGATAGAAAACGATAAGGTGCATTATGTGTGGAAATTATCTTCTCAGAGAGATTTTACCTCTTCCATCTGCAGTTGGTTCTTGCAAAAGGCATGCAGGTATACAATCCACACACAGATCTCAGGCACGAATGGTGTGTTGTGGGCAGGATTTAAACATTACTTCTATTTGTGTATTTCTGATGTTATTTTTGTTTAGTCTCTGTTAACAGAATTCACATGTGTTAAGATCGTACTAATGGAACATTCTGTGTGTTCATTTATATTTTTGAAATGTCATAAACCATTATACCTATTCATTTACTTGTCTAGAAAATTGCCTGTTCTGACATTTTTTTTATTACCACAAAGGAAAAAAATTCACTCTATATATAGGCAGATAGCCTGAAACCTCTATAGATTATCCTACTACCGCTTTTCCTTCGCCATTATCGCCACTTTTTCTAACGGCCATGCCTTTGAAAATAATTTCAACTTTCTTGATACAACAGCACTTTAGATGTTTTACCAGGCTATATGTGAGCATCTGATAGTAGCTACTGTAGCAGTAAAATTTAGATTTTAACACCTTCCTTTGTAAATGCTTTACTTTCTTAGCCATTCTATTTGAAATTAAGAAACAGAAGGGAGAGATTTATGATACTTGAGGCACCCTACTTGTCACAGATTCTTACTTTTTAATTTCTTTCAAGATACATGGGGTCATTTTCCTTCATGGCTACTTCATGTTCCCTTTGGGCAAATAACTGCTCACTTCACTCTGAAATTATGCAATAATTGCCTATAATTTGCGACTTGCCAGAATAATATTTTCTTAACTCTAAAGGGTATTATATTTTTCTTTGCCAGGACATTCCTGGCCAATATAATGACGGACAGAGCAGATAATGTAACAAACTCATAACACCTTGATAAAACAGTGTTTGACACAACTTCAAGAATATAGTTGGGACAGAGTGAGGCAGGAAAAAGGAAGCAAGCAGTGACTAGCAATGAACCTATTTGATACGACAAGGGTCATAATAGGAAGTGCTGTTTGCCCAAATACTGATCACAGCACTCAGAAATCATATTTTTTTGTCCATAGGTA